AATTCATATCATATAAATATTGTGCATATTTTCATATTGGTGGTAGCATAGGTGAGAAATCGGGAAGGTATACAGAGGGGGTGCGCACCTAGGGAGGAAATGAAGGGCAACCCCTCTCTTCCCCTGTCCTCCAGGGCATCAACAATCAGTATATACGAATAATCAGTTTCGTCTGGAGAGCAATGTTTGTAATATGCGAACAAATTATGCGTCTAATAAATATTAATGGGAGATATCGTGCTTAGTTTTGCCGCACTGCTATTTGAGAGCTACCACACCTAGTTTTACTGCAACGCTATTTGGGAGATGCCGTACCTAGTTCTGACAATTTTATTTTTTTAATTTCTTTAAACGCTTTTATTAAACAAAGCGCCGCAATCTCATAAGTGAATAGAAAACAAAATTTGTTAGGAAACCTCATGTCATGTATATATATTACATGTCCGGAGTTGTTCGCTCTCTCATTAACATGAAAACATGACAAATTTGCAAACGCAATATTTGCAATATTTGTTCTGTGATGTGGCACAACAGTTACTACTGTAAAAAATAATTAATGACGTGAAAGTATAGGTTAAGTACACAGTGCATTCGATATGGGCCTCTCGGGTGCGGACAAATTTGAATACAAGGTAACACTGTGCATCTAGACCTGAATGCACAGGTCTGTGCAAAAAATATGCAAATATGCTCAAAAACATTTAGTGATATCATATCGCCTATACAAGGCTGCCGCAAATTTGAAAGGGTTTTAAGTGTATTCATATATATATATATATATATATATATATATATATATATATATATATATATATATATATATATATATATATATATATATATATATATATATATATATATATATATATATATATATATATATATATATATATATATTTGTAATGAATGTGGCTGATACTCATTGCAGTCCCCGTGGCGTAGTGGTAAAGCACTCGCTCTGCACTTCGCGAGCGCTTTGGCCTGGGTTCCTATCCGGGGAGGATTGACTGGGCGCCAATCCTGAACTGTAGCCTATGATCACCCAGCAGTGAATGGGTACCTGGTTGTTAAACGACTTGGCGGGTCGTATTCCGGGGAAAAAATTGGGATTAAGGATCTGTCCGAAATGCTATGCGTAATAGTGGCTTTACGAGAATCTTAGAACTCTTGTATAAATAAATAAATAAAAATAAGTCTCAGGGAGAGTGTAGAGTTGAAATAATATATAAAAATCAATGTTCCGTTTAAAGGTTGACATTCTTGCTGCATTAATTAGAAAGAAGAAAAAATATATCTTCGCAATGAGACCAGCTGTAGCCAGAACCTTTGACCAGTATCTCGTTAAGCAACACACTAAAGGTCTGATCACGTACCGGCTGAAAATCATCAGTTTGAATTCGCGAATGACGAAGAATTGTGAATTTCACTGCCCTCGTTATCTTGCACTGTGGCTGCAGTGAGCACGAAAGTCCAAGGAAGAGTTCGTCTTTACGAAACTCTGCTGTTATTAGGAGTCCTAGAGGAAAAACAATTAGAGTTTATTATTAGAGACGGGAAAACTAATGACTGAATAAATTGTTTTACTTTTAGTGAAAATTGTAACATGAACCGTGAGCTGATGTTCATTTGTAGGGAAAATGGGCCACCTACCAATCGTCCATAAACGTTTAATTCATTAAAATATTGTAATAAAAAAGGACGGCAGTAAAGGAAAAGAAAATTAAAATCAGTAAAATTTGCCAAATTACGACCCAGCTCCATGGATCTCGCCTCACCAGAGTAAATAAATATACAGCTTCTTCAGAAGGTTCGGTTCTGGTGTCTTAAGTCTTCTCTTATAAGGAATGCAGCTATTCTTCATAGCAGCCAATTCTCATATTGGTCAAATGTTTTGTCGCATATTACACTAATAATTGGAGACTTACGATCTTACTGGTAAGACGCAAGATTAAACTTACTGTTGGTTTGAACTATCGGTTAACACTCCACTGTACTGTGTCAAAGGGCCCCAATTAAACATCAAAGGCTACACTAACAAGCCCTCCAGGGACAAGAGGTAAGGCCCGGCCCCCAGGGAACTACTATCGAATTTAATCAAGAGGTATGATACCCTCTTATACCTTGAACACGGTATGGAGTGCAGGTATTAATATTTAGTAATAAACTTAATCTCTAAACAAACAAAAAAAATGGCAGTACCTGCCCTGGAAAAACAAACCGAAACTGTCTCTATTTTTCGCTTGTTACAACTTGTAACAAGTTGTTACATCTTGGCTTAACGTGTTTATGATGTATTAGAACGTTGTTATAACTTGCTATATTGGTTTTATAACTGGTTAGTTGTTAAAATTTGTTCGAACGTTGTACCAACGTCGTAGTTTCGGTGTGTGTTTATATTTACTTAGAATCTCTTGGATAGAGAACTTTACTTACAAACCCCTGGCAAAGACACGCCCAAAATACCTCAGGTGAAGCAGTAGAAAGAACACCCCATTAACCCTAACACGAGGGGGGGGGCTGATAGCAGAGTGGACAGCGCTCTGGACCCGTAAGCCTAGGGTCCGGGTACGATCCCCGGCGATGGCAGAAACAAATTGGGCAGTTTCTTTCACCCTGATGCCCTTGTTACCTAGGAGTAAATAGGTACCTGGGAGGTAGACAGCTGTTACGGGCTGCTTCCTGGGTGTGTGTATGGACAAAAAAATTAGAAGTTGGTAACAGTAGATTGATTGACAGTTGAGTGTCGGGCCGAAAGAAAAAAAAAAGAGCTTAACTAGGTGAATAGGAACGTATGATCCCCTCCCAAGGTATCTTAAATAATATTAAATTATAGTGTCCTTGGAGTTGCAATAACAGGTTATTAAATGGGAGGCAGAGCTAGTTGGCCAGTACAGTAACGGGGAAGGACTTAACTTAATAACAACATGGCGACTCCTCCTGCAACAACCTTCCTCCATCACCAGCCAGATGCAATTGAATTCAAACCCCCCTTAACCGCGGGTATATGTCCACACGTCGTACATAACCGACTTATCAAATATTTTAACTCTGCCACCACACTTTACTTAATATAAATGAATTGACATAACCTACTGGCTGCTTAAAGCTTAATTACTGGCTTACTTTACAAGTCTTCACACCAACCAGTAAGTTGCATTTTAGAAATGAGTCGTGCTCAGGCAACGCTGCACGTTTACTGGCCACTACTCGTGAATTCATAATTTGTTCCTTTGCAATTGCTGCTGTTTATCATCACCCAAGCTCAAACCTTATCAAAACAATCATAAAGACTAACCCTGGTCACAACAGAGACAAAATAACATAGTCAGTATTGTTTTAACCCCAATTATATACCCTAGGGCTTGTCAAAGACAACATGTTTATGTACAAAGCCTATTCATTACTATTTAAACATAAAGAGGGTAAAAATATTTTTGAAGGTTAACAGCAAAATCTGTTTTTAGAGTTGGTGCACCATGGGTAGAAAGGGTTCACCATTGGATGGATTACAGAGGTGCATCTTGTAAGGTGGACCTCCCAAAGTCTATTATGTACCAAGTTCAAGTATGTTTATTGAGACAAGAAAGAATTGCATCTCAAAGGGATAGAGTAGCTTAGGCTATTTCTACCCCCCCCCCCCCCCGAAGATGGGAATGGGGTACATAATAAGTGAACTAAACTAATATCTACTTTCCTTGTAATGCGAATGGTCGGTTAATTCAACGAGAATTTTTGTTGTTTACTGACATGGCAGTGACTGTTTTGTGTCAATTTTGTTGATTACTGACATGACAGAGACTGTTTTGTGTCGTTGTTGCTTACTGACATGACAGTGACTGTTTTGTGTCAATTTTGTTGATTACTGACATGACAGTGACTGTTTTGTGTCAATTTTGTTGATTACTGACATGACAGTGACTGTTTTGTGTCCTTGTTGATTACTGACATGACAGTGACTGTTTTGTGTCGTTGTAAATGCTGTCATTTACATTTTGATATGCGTGTTTTTGTTTCTCGTATCCTTTGTCCTTGGTCTTTCACCCCGGCGATGGTGCTTCTGTTTGAATGATTCGTTTTGTTAGGCCGTTTGCCTTGATGTTCTTGATCTAATATTACTGTATCTATGGCTTTGTAATTTGCATATCTGCGTCTATTTAGTATTCTTCTAATCCCAGCACTCATGCTCTGAGTGCCTCTGCGTTCCAGTGGTTGCGAACATTTATTCCATTGTTGACATTCCCAACTTGACATCAAACGCAACCTGACAATAAAATTATCCAGCTTTGATTCCGTTGTGGGGAAAAGACTGTCGCGCCAACAAGCGGTATAAAGAAACTTTTTAGCATATATATTTTATACTTTTGTGCATTAATTTTTTCCCATAAACTGATATTATTAAGCTCAAACTTTCAATACCTGTCCCTGCTCACACAAGGACCAAATTTATGGTCCTCGACCAGAAACGTTAGCCAGTTAACCCTTTAATAAATTGGCTAGGCTTGTTAAATGACTTTGTTATTACATGCAAAAGTGGGACGTAGGAAAAATTAACGATGTGTGTACATCCACCGATCAATGATCACAGTGCTGAACGGTGCATTATTCACCAAGAACATGGAGCTTATATGTGTGTTTAAGCATTTAGGTAATTAAGTAATTTTGCAACGAGGATGGATAGGTTTCAGACATGTATACAGCTGAGGGAGAATAGCAGCTTGTAGCTTGCAGTTTCATTAGGAACATTAGCACAAATCCAAATGAACCCTATAGTCTGAGTTTAATAAAGAGGAAAAAGACTGTCCGAGACACAAAGACGGACAGATGAATAGACAGGTAGACAGGCGGACCGTGGATGGAATTAAGAGAGATGGGTGACACCCCCCTCCCCCCATAGAAGCAACATAAATGTTGTTGTTGATTTGTTGATTTAGGGGCGAGGACGATCAAGGGATCGGATAAAGCAACATAAATGATGTCTCATATCTTGTTTTTTTCCACAGATGCAGCGTCGCTCGTAGATGTTAGCAACCGCCCCTGGCGATCATCTCCCTGTGGCAACACAGGTTAGTGTACCTTGCCTCACTGACTTCTGTTTTAGCTACACTTACGTGTTCTCTCTCTCTCTCTCTCTCTCTCTCTCTCTCTCTCTCTCTCTCTCTCTCTCTCTCTCTCTCTCTCTCTCTCTCCTTTAGTATTTGTCTCCAAAATCTTCTTTTAATTTGTGTCTTCGTTTCTCTCACCTTCGCTATATATTTTTTTTCATCTTGGCCATCTATTGATTGTTGCTTGTCTACATTTTATATTAATATATTTGCAGGTTGGGATTGTATCCCTGAGTTCGACTCCCATCCAATCCAGAGCTCAGTGGTAGACGTTGACGACGCGGCTAGCATCACCTTGGCTGATATTCAAAGTGAGAATTCGATTTTTTTCTTATAAAAACATCCAAATTCCAGTGATATAGGAATACTGATTTTGTTTTTAATTTTTGAGTAGCGTTCAATTTGTCATTTAGATGATAATAGTTGTCTAGAAATTCTTGAAGATGGTGTTTTGACAGAAATTATACAAAAATTTTAAATTTCTCAATATTTACTTTATCTGTATTGATATCAATGAATTATGTACACGTACATAAAACACTGTTTCCCTTATATCAGGATGGCTGTCAGCAAACGGCTACCATCGCATGTTTCTACCGGAGAACTCAAACAATCTCTGGCCAGCGAAAATTGGAATGATAAACGAAAACGCTGATATCAATCAAGACACAGAAAATGGATTCGGAAGGGTTAACTACGCTATCCCATTCCTGGGCGACCTGCGGACCAATATGGCTAAACGAGATAAGGAACTTGACTGGCCAGTTGTGGCACCCAGGTCTCTCGGTGATGTCAGGAAGAACTGTTGCCTAAGGGAATGTTCTGTAGAGGATTTTTACGGCGCCTGTTCTTAAATCTTCAAGCGCAGAAACACCATACAGATGCCAGCACGTCTCAATTACTGATTTTTCAACTTTTCTCATGTCACTTCACATTATCTAAAAGCTATACATTGTGTTACTTAACTTATTATGTTGTTATTGTCATTACAATTATTTACGATTTATTAGTTTAAGATATATTTATACATCACCTTCACCTACTCTGTGATCTATATTTGTCCCAAAATAAACAAAATCAAATATATAATAGAATGCTTATAGCCAATTTCCTGCATTTTGCCAATTTGTTTCATACCTTTAACTTAGGGGAATATTTACTTTCCTAAATGTATATTTTTACCCTATATTCTTACTTATGATTAAGAAATATCTTGTTTATCCATAAGGGCATTTATCCAAGATGCTGTCGATCTGCTTGATGTTTGGATGTCTTCGCTGTCATGCACTTTGCACAGTTACCCGTCAACATTGTTGGTTATGACGAGTCCTGAGTGTCCAGGAATATACACAGAGGTGTGACCAACTTATACTAGGAGTTTACTTTTGTCCTCGACAATGTTGAGGACTAATTTATACTTGCTGGTTGGTCAGTAAGCAATCCTTATCAATCTCGCGGGTGATAAGGTCTTATATGAATCACATCGACCAAGCCATGACTTTCATTATTCATGCCCAAGACTTTCTTGTATTTTGGGCCCTGATGGTCGGTAAAGTTAATTATGCAGGGTCTTAATCAGGGTCTTGAGTCTCATTGACCTTGATTAAGCAGACCATTGATTATCTGGAACTTAAGTGTACGTAATCCAGTGCCCAGCTGGGTACTAGGATACTAAACCTGGCCTTGTAAACCATGCGAACTTTTGCTCTCCCTTAATGCATTCATTTCCTTCATATGTTTCGTCTAACTGTAACATTTATGTTATCAAATAAAGACGACGGGCGTTTCATCAGTGTGGTGGACAGATGTGAGGTTAGAAGGAGCGTATAATGCGTTAGTGGTGCCTTCATGGTGATTTAAATGACTACCCCAGTTGTTGTGAAGTATTATCAGCAAAGTAAAATAAACAGCTGGAAATTACGTATTCTTAATTTAATAGTAAAATGTTATCACAGTGACTGTTGTGGTCACAGAGTCACTGTGACCCCCAAAAGTCACACCTTAGGCGAACATTCTGTGGTTCGTAGCTAGACCACCTCATACGATATTATTAAGATATGTGAAAATTAGGAAGCTTTTTCACCAGTTGTAATTTATTATTTAGAATGTTACAGCCGATACAAGGAAGAGAGGCGGTTAAATATTAAGTAGACATTCGGCTTCGAAATATTTTTTCCTAGTAAATACAAGTAAAAATGCAGAAGCAGACCTCGTGAATCTGTTGTAAGATTAATAATCACACTAAATATGACTTCAATAGCAAGACTTTGTTGACTCCTAGTTTGTTGAATCTATCCTAGTCTTCGCTGAATCCAGCCTTCCCTAACAAAATATAAATTTAATTTAACAACAATGCTTAACTTATAGGCTACTGTGCATTCAACCAAATTCAGTTTAACTTTGCCTAATCTAACATAAACTCCACCGGAAATGACTAAATGATATTTCTGCAAAGCCTAGCATTCTTGTGCATTGCAAACTACCCTTCATTGCATTGAAAATTACACTTCACTGCATTGCAAACTACTAAACGTTTCACCGAAACGAGTAGCCAATGAAGTTCAAACACGAGATTGTCAATCCAGCAGCCGCCCCTTTTCCCAATTTACTGAAAATAAACTCTATACATTATTCCAACGTTTCTACACATTGAACGACAAGGAATTTCCGATTTCCGAATTGCACCTTTGTAAAATGTTGCGCCCACTTACCGTATATGTAATTAATTGACAACTAATACCAAAAAACTTAATCTAACCTACCTTAGATCTAACTATAAACAAAATTATAATATAAAATCGAGTCCATTTATACTTGAATAAATTCAGATTTTTTTATTATTCAATACAGTACGTTAATATTGGATAGTTCGTCTGAGGGTGACCTGTTGATGGTAGCTGGCCATTCCGTTAAGAGAATGGTGGATATACCCTGCTGCATCTTTCTTTAGTCTTATTTGTCAATATAATTTACGTTTTCTCTCTGAATTGTTGGGAAATTTGTGACCTCAATGTTAATATTAGGTACGCCATTTTTGTTCTTGGGAAAATTATAATTAGAATGATTAAAAGTAAACTCACATGATTAAATGCACTTGTTATTCTGCACCCTCCATGACATTTCTGATTTTAAATTACTACAATATACCCCTTGCAGGCAATCGCTGGCGAAGTGGTATTAGTAATGTGTATACCAGTGGGGGTGAGCCCTGTAACTCAGATTCGAACCTGTTTACCTGTTAACTGTCATGAAATGTGGCAAACATCCATACAGAGTTTACTAAATCTTACTAAATCACAACAGAGAGATCGCTTGGCTAGATACACTCGTTATATTCTTGTTAACCTAAAGTGTTACCCTAACGAGAAACGCACGAACCCAAGCCACCCACCTAACCTAACCCATGCCACCTACCTAATCTAACTTAAGCCACCAAGACATATACACACTGAGAGGTGTACCTCTGCTTCCGCGTGTATATATACACTGATAATTTACCTTAGTCTCTCAGTAACAAGGTTATCGCGAATAACCGAACTCAATTATGGGCTCATGGAATTTCGTTCCAAGTAGCTAAGTCTAAAACAACAACAACAACATACCTTAGTCCGGGACAGGTTAAATGTCCCAAAAGGAATCCACAGGGAAGTAGCAGGCAGCTCCGTTACATAGATTACGTCTAGGTTACAGATGCAACTGGGAAATTTGTGAACCCAGAGGGACTGCATTTTCTGCCAAACACTCACATAAAAGCCATTGATTCACTATCTCCTGGAATGTCAAGCAACCAACGACATTAGAAGAGCTTTAAGAGTCACTGAATCTTGTAGTAACCACCCTGAAGCCATCAACACTGCCACTTTTCTTGTCAAAAAAGGGGTCCAGCAGCTGGACACCCTCATAAATAGTCAGGCAGTATCCTCCCCCGCGATAACAGCCACACAGTAAGGACTGACGATTTAAATGCGAGCAAAGCACGCAGTATATCATTTCAAGACCGAAGATCACATTCACTCCAAAAAATCTACCACTTACGTGCTATTCATGCCCGTTCTACCTCTTGGGTGGCTTAATCTTCATCCAAATAATCAACCTTAGTACTGGACTAAAACATTCTTGCTGGTTGGTCAGTAAGTTATTGTGGTGGCCATAATAACCCTTCCACGGTTGATAGGCTTAAAGTCCAACACCAATCCTAACCAATTAATATGTTCAACGTTAATGAAAATGAGAATAATGTGCAAATATTTAATTTGTTTGTACAACAATGGTGCAAATCATAATTATACAAAATATAAAAGCCTTGCGTGTTAAAGACATAAAAGTTTACCTTAAGAATTTTCTGATGTTCAATGCTGAAAAAATAATGTAGAATGCAATAATTATTGTTTCTGACTATGTATTTTGTATATTGATAAGAAGATAGAGATATACACTTTCATTATAAATTAAATGAAAGCCTATTAATGATCGTGAAATAATGCACAACTAGAGAGTTGCCACCAACGACTACGGAATGAATATACACGACTACAGAGCAGTCACACACGACTACAAAGCAGCCATATGCGACTGCAGAGCAGCTCTACACGACTGCAGAAGAAATTCTCAACTGCACAGCTGTCATACACGAATGCAGAGCAGCCATACATGAATGAAATCACACAAAATTGTGAAACCAATATTCCACATCACTACCTGGACTAGAACCTGGGAATTAGTGCTCGGCTGTTTGTCACACTGTCCGTTCATCCAACAAATTCACAAAATATTGGGAACAGGCAGTTTGAAGGAAATTATAATGGAAAATAACTTTTTTACCATTTTATAATTTATCCAAGTGGCTTCAGTAGACGCAAATTTACATCACCGGATAACTTAATTAGCTATTAAGTTAATTAGCTATTAAGTTACATAATTAAAATTACATGTTAATGTAACCTCTCTTTTTTACAAGATTCCAGCTGAGAAAGCCTTAAGTTAACTGAAAGGTAAATTATTCTGTAACAATTTCATAAACCTGATCAACTTCTGTATACTTTACAGTTACTTATGTTTTGATTCTTTAATTCTAATGCAAAAAATCAGCATAATAATGGAATCTCCCATTAGTGCCATGCTTGCTAATTTATTCATGGAATCAATTGAAGAGTGACCATTCCCTTAAATCGTCATTGTGAAATGGTTTCATTATGGTGATGTCTTAAGCATTATATGTAATTTTGTCCTTGACGTAGTAATAGATTGAATAAAGTTAAATCTACAATACAGATTGCTTTAGAAGTAGCAAGAGATGGCTTGCTACTTCTAGAGTACCTCACTCAAAGTTTATGATAAAACACAGTATTCACATTTATAGGAAATAAACTTACAAATATATCTTGTGCAATTTTTCTATCACCATGACAACAACAAAACATGGCACACTGAGTGAATTTTTATCTGCAGTTTTATGATATGTAGCTAGCAGTTCTTTAAGATGAATATCAATATAATACCTATTCTTTCCTATACTTTAAGTACCCTTATATCTTTCATTAGGAATGCAGAAATCAAGCAACTATACTCATGAACAACAGCATTAACAACACATAACCAGAGCGATGTGTTTTCTCCAGATTGGACAGAGAGCAAATAGCATAACTAACAGTTAAAATAAACTCAATGTTAGGATTGTGCACAAGACATCTATTACAAGCCAAATCTTCCTCAGGAGTATAACTAGACACTATAGTACAAGGTAACTACAACAGGGGTGTATACGATGACCTGCAAAAGTTGGGAAACTGTGTTCCTGTGTGTGTAACACTACCAAACATGGGTACGAAGATTTACAAACACAGGTTGGTAAATCTGTCGTGATGAAACACCAACAACGTTTGTGCCACACATATGACCCAGTAGCAACACCTCATGAACTTCAAGGACAACGAACTCATCATCATCAGAGCATAAAACTCCATCTGAAGGGAGTGCATTCAGTCTGCAACTTTGCCCCTTTATAAGTACTAGCTCGGTATATCTGTTAAATTTAATATAGCCCCATCGAGCGGAACGTCAATTAAAATTTTTATCTTTGTGTTTTTCTACATGAAGTCTTTTATACAATAGTTAGTTTATCAAATATCAAACAATGTTGTGCTCTTCAATTTCTTGAAATGTGTCACTAATTGCAAACTATCACATCGGAGATATATTGATTAAAGAAAACCGAAATGCAAAGAGACAGTGAACGTAGAAAGGGAGGTGGAGGCAGAAGAGAACACAGACGAACAAAGGGAGGAGCAGGAGAAGGTGGAAGAGCAGGTGGTGCTGACAGGGCCAGCCTGAGCCTTTGTTGCAAACCCCCAACAACTCTCATTGCAACCAAACACACGTTCAGTCTCTCCCAGGTTCCCTCTATATAAATAACCCATTCGAAAGTAACCGAACATGCGTTATTACTATCCAATCCTATTTTTAATTCTACTAAACATTAATTTACTTCTTGAATTTAAATAATTTATTATTTATATTCCATTTCTCGTATTCCGAAGGCGCTTCCATGTTCTCTGTCCAAATTTGGAGGATTATTGCAGGGTTCATCATTGTATGAGGCTAAGGGTCACACAGCCTATGGCTGAGGGGTTGAATCTAAACCTGTTCATGTGGAAATCCCATAATTACTGATGATTTCTCTTACAATACGGACAACGACGACATAAACCATTAAATGCATCGTTGCTGAGAAAGCAGCAAAAATTCTGAGATTATATCATGATGCGAAATTTAATTGCAACCTTTCTAAACTAATTTGCCCTAATCTTTGTGATTATATCTTTGAAAAAAAATATTACATTATAGGCCTACACCAGATGATTATAGGCACATTTTAAGGTACGGTATATTAAATACGATAAATGATTTTTTTTGCACACAATTTCTCCGAATACATCAGTATGGAAAGAACGTTGATAGGCTGTTGTGTGTCTCCCGTATGACGCGATGTTGCCTTTAAGGTCGACTTGCTTCACCTCCTTCTTGTTTCCGTCTGATTACGCCGCTCTGTGATCTTGTTTACCGTGACCTTATTACCCACGGTCACTGCTCTTGTTTACCACGTACACTGCTCTTGTTTACCACGTACACTGCTCTTGTTTACCACGTACACTGCTCTTGTTTACCACGTACACTGCTCTTGTTTACCACGGTCACTGCTTTTGTTTACCATGGTCACTGGTTTTGTTTACCATGTACAGTGCTCCTGTTTACCACGTACAGTGCGCCTGTTCACAGCGTACACAGTTCTCATTAACCATGGCCATCATGTATAACGTCAAGGACTAATTTTCTTTGAGTTAAGATAAAATTTATTGTGTATTAAACACTTAAATATTGTATTTGTATGAAGTATATCATTTTGTTTAAAAAAAAAAGATGGAACATCTTGGGATCTCTGACAATTTCCGTATTTATTTCATGCGACTCGTCACAGCCAATAGTCGGCAAGCAACACGTGGCAATCTGTAATTGGTCAAGAACATCGGGTAAATAGAAGCAACATCCAATCAAAACAAGGCAGGTTGGTTTCTGGAGCCAACTCTTGTATACTCACTGGTCTCTCAAAAGACGCGGGTGTTTACGGGCTCACCATAGCCCATGCTACATGGACACTTCGTTCTGAGTAGCTAAATCTGAAACAACAACAACAACAGAGGCGGGTGGCGTCAGCGATCCGTCCAAGTTCCTCAATTTGCCATCGATCGCTCGTTGAAGGTTCAGTGAGAAGATTTTTTGTTTATCTAGATTACCCATGTGTTGCTCCGGTGGTGGGGTAACACATGGATAGTTGGAGCAATTAGAGGGGCTGCTCTTCGTGGTGGTGCTAGAGAGGCAGCACTGATGGTACTTCGTAGTGCTGCAGAAAGGCCTGCTCTTCGTGGGAAGGGTGTGTACCGCTGCCGACTACCCGCAGTAACCCCGCCGCCATCAACACATAGAAGACAACGAAGAGAGCGGCCATGGCGAGAAGGGATACCCTGGCCACGGAGTTAGAGAGCAGCGCCATCTCCCGACTTGAACTGGGTACCTGTTGGCGCATGGCGTTGCGTTTCTGTTTTCGCCGATGGCGAACTCCGACACGCCGTACGAACAGCGGGGATACCTGGAAAGGAAGGCAGGAAGGAAGTAATTATCAGAAGACATCAGGCTGGGAAGAATATGGAGAACCATCAAGGACAGTTACAATGTTAGTTGACTCTATAGAAAGTGAAAGGCATAACATGAATGAGTCTGCCTTGCAGTGTTTGACTGATTTTAAGATAAAAAGGATTGAGTACTTTAATATTTCATGAATGAAGTCCTTAATAGTCCATTAAAACCTAATCAGTATAGATACAAAATTCACAGACGACATTCAGTTTAAATTTATTGACTGATAGCAGTTATATGCGTTACGTATTTGTGTATATATGTGTGTGTGTGTGTGTGTGTTAGTGTAGGTGTGAATGTGTGTGCTTGTGTAGGTGTGTGTGTATGTTTGTATGTGTGTGTGTGCTAGTATAGGTGAGTATGTAGGTTTGTATGTGCGTGTGTATGCTAGTATAGGTGTGTATGCGTGCTTTTGAAGGTGTGTGTGTATGCTAGTATAATTGTGTATGCGTGTGCTTTTGAAGGGTGTGTGTAGGTTTGCATGTGTGTGGTTGAGGTGTGTATCTATGTGTTTGTATAGTTCTGTGCTTGTGTAAGTGTATGCTTGAGTAGGTGTGTAAGTGTGTGTTTGTGTAGGTGTGTGCTTATGTAGGTGTGTGCTTGTGTAGGTGTGTGCTTGTGGAGGTGTGTGCTTGTGTAGGTGTGTATGAATCTGTGCGTGCAAGTAAGAATCCTTTCAAAGGTTAAGAACACAGGTAAAGGTCATGATTCTAAAATGGGTCTTGTTGAGCGCTCACCCCTTCCCTTCCATCTCCCTAGCTCTCTCTCTCTCTCTCTCTCTCTCTCTCTCTCTCTCTCTCTCTCTCTCTCTCTCTCTCTCTCTTACCTTGGCCTGTTGCGGCCAGTCCAGCTCCCTCACCCTCACAATGATCCCGGGGAGGCGGACTCTGTGAAGGACGACGTTGGTGACGATCTGGCTGATGACGATGAGGAAGCAGAAGGTGATGATCGCCGCGTACCACACGTCAATGAGCTTGAGGTAGGGCGTCTTGACGGAGGAACTTGTAGTCGAGGAAAACAGCTCCGCCAGCACCAGCTGTGCCGTAAGGGCGATCATAATCCTGTTGGTGAAGTCCTCCACCTTCTCGCCACACACAGAGACAGAAATGAACATCGAAGTTCACTAAGAGAAGGAGGAAACTTGGTCCGAAAAAAGCAAAATCTAGTTTTGTTCAAAAGCTCAAACTCGAAGGATCTCTTTGTGGTGTCTTAGGGAGGTCCTGTAGCATAGGAGGTCACAGTGTTATCAGGTTAACCGCGGGATCTGGGTTCACTCCCGTGGCAGGGCGGAAACCATTGGGCACGTTTCCTTTCACCTAATACAACTGTTCACCTAGCGAGGAAATTAGGCAAATGCTGTTGGTTGCATTCTGTAGAAGGTTAGGAGGTGGCCTAGGGGGGCGCCTCCTGATGCCGACAACAGGAATAATTAAGTGTTTTTTGGTAGCTGTTGGTGGTGATCAGGTAATGAATGACCACCGTAAAGGGTGCCAGGTCAAGTGGTCACGCTGAAGGGGTCATGTGCTCTGGAGCCTTGACATTTAAAGGGATACATTTAGCAGAATCATTTAGCATTTAAAGGGGCTAAACTTAACCTTGCAAAACACACACACATGCACTTTTGGATGATTATCTCAAATGCCAAATATAAATTCAGTAAATAATGAGAGAGAGAGAGAGAGAGAGAGAGAGAGAGAGAGAGAGAGAGAGAGAGAGAGAGAGAGAGAGAGAGAGAGAGAGAGAGAGAGAGAGAGAGAGAGAGAGAGTGTGAGTGTTACCTGGAAAAAGAAGGTAGCGTAGGAGATGAAGAAGATGAGGATGCTGGGGAAGAAGCTGTTGGTGAGGTGGTAGCCGTGGAGGCGCCGCAGGTGGAAGGTGAGGACACAGTTGGTGTTGTTGTCGGCGCCCTGGAGAGACCAGCCCGCCTCCGTCGTCAGGGCCTCCAGAGAGTACTCCAGCAACACCCGCCGCTGCACCACACCAACCTCATTATGAGGGGAAAGTGTTGCTGTGGTTTTAGATTTAGCTACTCAGAACGAAATGCCCATGTAGCACGGGCTATGGTGAGCCCGTAAGGAAAGCGCTAAGCCACTGTGACTATATATAAAGTGAGAAGAGATATGAGGACAAGGAGCTGGGATAGGTCGAAGGGAAGGTGCTGTATCCAACCCCTTAAACTATCGGGGATCGAACGCAGACATGCAAAAACCGATGACACAGACAGATTCAGAAATATATATTCATAGCAATATGACGAACACAAAACTCGACATAATTGATCAACATCACTGATATGAGCAAGTGATGTGTGAGATGATTAACACGTTACTATGGTCAGTGAGTCACACTATGGTCGGTTCATTACTATGGTCAGTGAGTCACGGTTTGATCAATATTACCTAAGTCAATAAGTCACCTATAATCAATATGTTATCCTGACCTACAATGCTCAAAGGGAATTTATAATAATGACATCTGACCGTTGAAATTTTTATCACGACAAAAAACGGTTTATCGGGTAGAGACAAAAAACGGCACATTTGTTTTTTTTTACTTTGGTCTACGCTTGAAAATTATAATTCTAGCATATATAAATATCTCATGAACAATTCTAGCCACTAGTTTACTCTATGAGGCCTGGTCGGAGACCGGGCCGTGGGGTCCTTTGATCCCTGGGACCTCCACAAGATAATAGGAGAGCATTCATATTATTCCACAACATCCATTATCTTTGCTATGTTGAGATATGTTGCAACAGTGATTTCTACCATTCTAAGTCTAATGATAACTGTTGCATGTGGATAATTATCTTCAATACCTTTCTTGCTAATGTATACCATGATAAATTAAGTGATTTTGTTTTTAACTAGAAACAAATGTTATATAAGAGTCATTAAGGAGACAGTCACATGTCCTTCCCAAACATCTTTCCTAATCGTGTTTAGCACAGACGCGGGTAATACACACAGCACGTGGAGGAAGTACGGGGGATTATACTCTCAGCACCTGTATTAAGTACCATCCTCTACACATTATCAGCAGCAGAACTCACAGCGTTGAGATAGGGAACGTGTCTGCCGGGGGAAGACTTGCGGAGGAGACTCCGCCAGGGGTCGTTCACCACCACGAAGGAGAGGTTACACAGCTGCACGTCGAACGGGTACATTTGGAGGTGGAAGTGGCACGGCACCTTGATTAGGATCCCCAGATACAGCTCTATGGCAGTCGTCGCCCCGTCTGTCCAGTGACCTGAGGGGAGACGAGCAGGGAACCAACAGGAGAATTGTTATGAGCATACATACGTGTGTGTGGGAGGGTTGATTTTGTGTATGTATATTGTCGTTAGTGCTGGTGTAGAGTTGCTATTTATTTACACATTTTCCGAGGAAAAATAATGCAAGTCGAGATGAATTCTGGTGTTGACGTACTCATGAGCGGGTCGTGGAGGGGACGTAGTTCAGTCTGGTCGTTGCTGTAGGCGTAGCAGAATTTCTCGTAGTTGTTGGAGGTCAAGATAGTGCCGTGGCGGCGGCCAGACACCGGACGCACACGCGGGGTCCACACCAGCTCGCACGGGAAGTAGTTCTTGATCTTCGTCTTCAGGTTGAGATACTTGAGTCTCGGGTCAAACCACGAGACGGTGATGCCCAAGTCCATGCTAGCCTCGCCCTCCTCGGTGGTTACGTCGCCGACATCATAGACGTCGATGTGGTAGCCAAGGACCACTGGTAGTACTTCTCCCGGTCGTGGAGGTGGAGGGTAGTCGGCGTGGTACCCTTGTGGCTGTTCCACCACCTTACAGTCAGCCTCATCCGAGCTGTCGGAACAATGGACAATATCATCACAGCGAGAGGTCTGCGGGATGCACTGACCGTCATCACAAGCGAATTGAGTCGTACGACACATACTAAGGGCCAGGACGACCTCTTGCTCCCCGGTACTCCAATTGTGACGACCAATAGGCACCTCAAACTTTCCCAGCAACCACTGGGTATTGTGCTGAGTCGATCTTAGCACCCAACCATTATTCTTCCGTAGTATTTCTGACCCGCCGAGGCCTGTAAACATGAGCGTCGTGGTGTGTGTAGGGATGAAGTAACTGTGATCGAAGAGGCTGCCGTCGTGGCCGTACAGGGTGTACAAGACGGAGGCAGACGCTTCACACACACAACATTCCAACTGCAGTTCACAGGACGCCCATCTGCGCCCTTCCACACTCATCGCTGGACACTCCTCGGAATGCATCTTAACTTCAGCCTCACTGACCCTGTGGCCACCCTTGAGCCAGGTGATGAGGCCACCGGCGTCCACACAGGTGTCGTTTAACCCATAGAGTGCTGTCAGGGTGGCCGAGGTTGGGTCTGTGTCGGAGACGAGGGCGCCTCCCATGGCTTGGCATACTGTTGCGTGACGGGCGTACGTCCCGGGGAGCTGAACCACCACCGCTCGTGGCTCGAAGACACACAAGGTATGTCTTTCGTACGAGCGAAATGAGGCGTTACCAACCACGAACCACTGCGGATTCATTTCAAGGTCGGGTTGGTGAAGATGGTGATGCTGGTGACAACCAGAGATGGCACGCAGCATCTCTGTACCAAGTATTCTTTTCCAAAATGTGACCCCAGCCACATCTGCCATTAGGCTACCTTGCTGTCCGTTCCCTTCCACACACACCACGTTCACCTCCGCCTTTCGGGGCTCCTCTGTAACGCTTGGTTCCTCTTCCACAGGACGTCGAGGTTGGCCTTCCATGTCTGCCATTTCTTCCTTCATTGCTATTCCTTTTCCATCGTTAAGTGACGGGGTGTTCTTGGGTATCCTGTCCATCAAGCGTCTCGCTGCCATTATCTCCTCGCCATCGATAAAACACTGAACCTTTCAGAGGAAATTACAACTGAAAATAAAATAATATAACACCAAACATACAACATTTACGAATCATCACTGATCCCCCGAACTGCTGTATTTTTATACGAATTACTTTTTCAACATTTATTCATGATTAATAGAGGAATTCGTGTTCATTCACCTGAAGTGTGTCGTATTGAAACTGGAGACAGAAGTGACGCCAGACCTCCGGGGGCATCTTGGCCTCAAAGAAGCTGTGAAGGTCCTGGCCGTCTGGCTCCTGCACCAGCAGCGCCAGCCCCAGACGGGTCGCCTCTGGAGGAGGTGTGGCAGAACTAAGACTGGCTCTCAACCTTACACTGGCTATTTAGCCTTGACGTAATGCATTTGTAGAAACATAAAATAATTTATTTTGAAAATAACTATGTCATGTATATTTATATATAACTCTCTCACTCGTTCACTCACACACACACACACACACACACACACACACACACACACACACACACACACACACACACACACACACACACACACACACACACACGAGTAAGGGGAGACATGATAACCACCTACAAAATTCTCAGGGGAATTGACAGGGTGGACAAATGCAAATTATTTAGCATAGGGTAGAACACGAACAAAGGGACATAGGTGGAAACTTAGTACCCAAATAAGCCAGAGACATTAGAAATAATATTGTCAGTGTCAGAGTAGTTAATAAATGGAATGCATTAGGCAGTGATGTGGTGGAGGCAGACTTCATGCACAGTTTCAAATGTAGATTTTATAGAGTCCAATAGGTTCCAGAATCTGTACACCAGTTAATTGACAGTTGAGGAGCGAAAGAGCCAAAGCTCAACACCCGTAAGCACAACTAGGCGAGTACAACAAGGTAAGCACACGCACGCACGCACACACACACACAAACACACACACACACACACACACACACACAAGCAGAGCTGTATTTTTTGTCGTACATTAACACCTCTGAGGACAGCAATTCTCCTAGTGAGACTCCCTTTCCCTTTCTAGCTGGGTCAGCAAGGTCATACCTATTACAATGTTGGCCCAACTGACGTAGGTTAGCAGCGAGGAACGCCTGTTTCTCGTGTCCATCCTGACGAAGGCGCAGACGGTGAAAGAAGTCAGGTCCTGATCTGACCCGCACGACGTTACTTCTCCTTCAGCCCCAAAAGTTCCAGGATCATCGCTATAACTACGAGGCTTTTCAGTGCCAACGTAGCGAGTTGCGGCGTTGTAAGGTTGAAGGTCACCAGGATCACCAGTGCCACTAGAAGCACAATCAGTGCCAGAGAGGGTGGCACACACCCTGGAGCGGCCCGGCCCCAGCACCGCCCCCGTCAGCACCTCGTCTTCTGCGGATAAATCACAGCATCTTGGTTACCAGCAAGTCACAGCTCCAGTGGCCGCCAGCTCACTGTGTAGCACTGTTGTCACTGTGCTGTGGTAATTAATTTGTTAAAAGCGTATGGTGTGCTAAATAGATTTGTACTTGTTCTGGACTTTAAATGGTGTTCGTAATGTTAATTTTCTAGTAAATGTGATGGTCGGAAAGGTTTCTTAGTGGACAAGGTAGTGTGTGTGTGTGTGTGTGTGTGTGTGTGTGTGTGTGTGTGTGTGTGTGTGTGTGTGTGTGTGTGTGTGTGTGTGTGTGTGTGTGTGTGCTTGTGTGTGTGTGTGTGTGTGTGTGTGTGTGTGTGTGTGTGTGTGTGTGTGTGTGTGTGTGTGTGTGTGTGTATGTGTGTATCTTTGCGTAGATGGATGTGTGTGTGCGGATAGGGGGGGAGGGGTGTTTGCGTGTGTGGATGTTTTTATCTTTGCGTGGGATTGAACCCTTGGGTGTGTGTGTGTGTGTGTGTGAGCGGGTGTGTAAGCATGGTTGTATATGTATAGCTGTGTATGTGATGGAAGATGTAAATCACCTATGTATACCTGTATTGTTAAGTTTTAACACCTAAGCGTGTGTGTGTGCGCATGCGTGTGAGTACAAAGTGTGTGGTGTGTCTTAAAACGAAACTCTGAACAACCTTTCAAAACTGATATATTAAATTTTGTAATTTTTGTTTTTCGCAGCACAGGAAAGCCTAGCTTATTAGCACCATTTTAACCTTCTTTATTATTATTCGTCAAAAGGGGATCAAAATGACGGCAACACTGTAAAGTTGCCAGACATTCACAATTTATTTTTCATTTCTTTTGGCTATTAAAATTAAAACAAATCAGATTAACTAGACACAAGTCGTTTTAGAAAGTAAATATTTATTATCAGATTTGTCTTTTATGTTGCATTTTCGTAGGGGAATTTAATAAAGTTTACCATGTAACTTAAATGCACCCGCGTAAGGACTTACATCTTTAGAAAAAACAATTATTTATGGAAACGAACCGAACTATAAATGTGCAAAACAGATATTTACGAATAAATATATAAATTGATTTATTTGTATATACATATATATATCTCTTACATTCAAACTGTCAAGAAATTAAATTGTAAAGATGACATAATTATGAACCTGCCAGCGTGTGTCTCGGAGAGGCTGCAGCTGCCGCCCACACCACCACCGCCGCCCACACGCCCACTGATCCACCCATGCTTACCTTCACGCCCCCTACCTGTCGAAAGGCGAAGAAAAAAAAAAGACAAGTATACACGCCCTCTACACATCAAAGGTATATGTACTGGCACACTAGTTTCTCTTGTCAGCTATCTCACCCTGTCAGAGTAAAAGAGACAAATATATGTGTATGTATGTGTATATATGTATGTATGTGTGTGTGTATGTATGTGTATAAAGTATAAAGCTGATCAGAATTACATTTCACCAATATACATTCACATTAATGCATTCATAAATCTGTGTATCTATGTATTTACGTATGTAGCTTAGCCTAACATTTTAAAAGCACTACGATCATCTTCTGTGGTTCAATAAATCTCTGAACTGTATGTTTGACAAATCTTTCACCCCGTCCATGGAGGACAGAAGAAAATGTATATATGCTAGTTAGCACTGTAAATGTGTGGCCACGTCTGTGGTAGAAAATAATAATAATAAAAAAAAAACAATATTGGTGGTGTGAGTGAGGTATATATATACGTCTCTAGCCTTCTCGTGTTGTATACCATTTATGGGTGTACGGAGAGTTTACGTTGGTCCTTGACTGTGATGAGGACTAAAGGGTGTAGTAGATAAATCACTGATTTTAAGCTTGACGTAAACTTCTCTAAAAATATACACTTCTCATTATATCACGAGGAGAAACATTTTATGTGGCCGGGTTTTGTTACTTTCATTATCATAATTACCGTTAAAATTCTCGTGCCCTTCATCCTATTTCTTTGTGTTACTTTGATAAAGTAAAACAAAAATGATTTAACGTTAAAAAGCAAAGTTAAATCGCGTAAGCAGAGAAATTTAACAAGACGTTGAGACAGGGCAAAGTCAGTACTGGTAATCACTGTGATGGAGATCTTCAGGTAGAAACAGAGCTAAAATGATGGCTTCAACCACATGATGGAAATCACTACGCTTCCTCTCGAAAAGTACGTCGCATTTTGATATACAAATCTCCAATCGTAAAAAAAGCGTAAAAAGCAAAAAACAATTTCTGTTAAACTTGTTCCCCAACCACGGCGACGTGTCAGAGGCATATGCACAATCAAGCGCAAGTTAACAACGTATTTTGTTATTTACACGTCACTGCAGTGAATTAGGCTTGCTCACCTGACTTGTGCTTGGCGGGCGGGAGATACGGGCGCGGACTGCGGCCCTCAAGCGGTCCCAAGAGTCACGACCCGCCCTACTAGCCTAGTCTCTCCCTCTCACAACGCCACATTGATCGCTTCTTTGTTGACAATTGAACGACGATGTCCAGTCGAATGAAATAAGACACATTTGTTCAATAAATATGTGTTTTTGCTATTACGATATAATAGCTATTATATAATACTATTCTGTATTATATACATGAGATATTTATATAGGTTAAAGGTAAAACCAGGTAGTGTCCAGGAGGAAGGGGGAGCGTAAGAGAGAGAGAGAGAGAGGCAGTCATCTGAGACATGTCCTGCCATTCTTCCTGCTTATGGATTATTACCTTCCCTCCTGCAGCTCAGCTCGTGATTAACGACACCCCAAACCGCTATACGTCTGACAGTGGCCATACGTCAATTGGGTCATTTCGTAATCGAAAAGTAAATTATATTTTCTCATTTAACCTGTTTGTACCTTTTGAGTATAGTAATTATAATGATTATAATATTAATGTTGGTTCTTGGGACCGTCAAGAAATACACATCAACATAGACATGGTGAGAGCCAAAAATATAGCAGCATCACCAACCACCAGGTTCTGAGACCTGGGTGGGTGATAAGAGTTCTTAAGAATATAAACTGCTTGTTATTGTGACCGAAGATATTAAAACGCAGGCTGAGACGTTTTTACTTTTCACATAATAGCTCACCAGAAAGCACGTATCCCTAAAAGTATGCAAAAAAAAAATCCTTTCAGCATGAACACTTACGTGACAATATCCATCTGACCACAATTGTATAACATTGATAATGATTGGATAGTTTGCAATGGCTTCCTGTCGAATATTTATCAAGTGGATGTCAAGTCATGTTGACATACCAGGGAATGACACTGCTTATGAAGCTGTAAAACTTCCATTTAAGAGGTGGAAGGTAGACATTTACATACCACAGAGTTTAGCACAGATTATGAAAATAATTAGAGCAATGAAGAAGATTTACAGTGACCATAGGGCAGCATCTGGAGTCATACAACTATTAACCTCGTATTTATATTAAAGAAAACAATAGAACATACCCATTTGATAACCATTGGAAATAGGTTTACAGGTTCCAGAAGAAGATAAAAATGCCAGCATTGTTAAGAAATACCAAACAGACCACTGGAACATTATCTAACACAGTGCACAGTTACAAACCAAACCTGATTACCATTGAGTTGGAACAGTGAAGAATGTGTTAAACACACTGGTTTTTTTTCCGAGGCCTGGTCGAGGACCGGGCCGCGGGGACGCTAAGTCCCCGAAATCATCTCAAGGAATCTGAAGGTAACTTTACTGAAGCCAACATACGAGTTGTAACCACTAAACCACCGTCTAAGTAAGACTGAAATGAGTAACATTTAGTGGGCCAGCCAGAGGGGTCCGCGCAGGAATTTCCATGCGCAAAAAAAAAGGGGTTTGGGTATGAGTTGAACTGTACATAAGGAAAAATACAAAGTGTGGAATCGAAAGAAAAGAGCCATTTAAATAAAATAATCCATAAGAAATAAGTTGTTCTATAAGAAATAAGATAATCTATAACAAATGATGAGGTGTATTGGTGAGCAGTAGAGCCTAATTATAGAGCAGCAAGTGGGCTCTACTGTCACTTAACCCGCCTGATGGCTCTGTAGCCACTATGGTAGAGCCACTTTGTATGTACAAGGCATATTATGGCGCTAGAGTCTGCTAGACTTTGTCTGCCACTCCGTAAAAAATGCAACTATTTTGCCTAATCAGAAACGTACTAACCCACGCATCTAACTTTCGATGCCCATGCTTAGAAAACGTCAATAATACGGTAGTCTTCTTTTAACTAATACATTCTAGATTTAACGGATCGATTTATTCAGTGAAAAAAATGGGAGGACAGGTTGCAGGAACTTTCCTTAACAATTCCCACTTGTTTACACAGGCCGTTCACGTGATTGGATAACCGTCAAATTTTAAGTGGGTTTGAGTTATCAGATCCATGCGGACCTTGGCGCCCAAGCCTAGTCTTTGGAAGCCGAAGCGACGTCAACAATGCGGTGTTTTACATTTCATCAAAACACCGAAATTGTGACGTTGTGTTTGAAAGCTTCAAAATTGCTGTGCATTAGAGTGAGAAGAGGTTGGTGGGAAAGGAATGGATCTACATAGACACAAGAAGGGTCTCGTAGTAGATTCGTTCACGAGTCACAGGCGGGGATTCCAGGTTCGACTCCCGGGCGTAAATGGTTGGGCACTTACCTTGTTATAAGCCTAAAGTACATATATCCAAAGATTGAGGAAAGGTGTACACGTTCGTAAGTGCTTGCGTAACTGCTTCGTGAATCTGGCCCCAATCTTCAACGGGTCCTAAGGCGTCCAACTGAAGCCTCAGGGCCCCGTAGAGGATTCAGTGGAATCCCAGATTACAATGCTTTTTACCATGTCGTGGTGTAGTGGTCCAGGCCGTTTGCTTAGGTGAGCAGGTTCGAATCCACCTCATGACTCCTACTGTTTTTCTCAATGATACATCACGTTAATATGATTTCGTTGTACATCATATTTTTACAGTTGGGGGATTTTGACATGACAATAATATGTATTATTCGAGAGGAGAGGTTGAACAACAACCCAACCCAACCCACCCTCCTAACCCAGCCAACCTGCGCATCAGAAAGCGTGGATATAACAGCTTGGAGGTTGATAGCGGGTGAGTTATCAGACACACTACACACGGCTGCTTCCAAGACCTGCCTGATATCTTACTCTGAATTGATAAGAAATACAAAAATTTTCCAGCTTTCGAATGCATTGTTATCGTGTTTTAAGATAACTTAAACATGTGGTCGAGGGAACACAATAAGGTGATCTCAAGCGATCTAGATATCAACGTCTTGTATTTTAAAATTTAAATTTAAAATTTTGTTTAAAATCAATTTCTTAGTGCAAAAATGGTTCGAAAGGTGTAGTAGCATTTATTTGATTTGTCTATGATTGTGAGTGTTGAACTTCAGCTCTTGGCTCTCGCCTCCTTCCGTCTTCAGCAGTGCTGTGGACTCATTGATTAACGCGTTTTGTTAATCCGTTACATCATTCCACAGCTTATTTTAGTTCTTCACTACCATGAAGATCATGTTTTTTCTTATCACCGTTCCTTCACCTCGTCTATGTAGTTACATAGTCGGTTTAATGAAGAAGGTTTTACGTCTATGTCAGGTTTCAGTCAGCAGGTTTAAGAACCTGCTGACAGTCTCTTGCTAGACTGATGCATCAAGACCTGCTGACATCAACCTTGGTAGTCAGTCTACGTAATCAACCATTAAAGCAGGAGTAATGAAGTAAGACTGGAAGGTGAGTGATCAATACCGTGGGACTAGCCTGATCCCACAGTCTGCCAGTTGTGGGGTCCAGCCTCGGCCAGCTTACTGTATACTGAATTTCGATCAATATTTCGTTTCTTTTCGGTTCCTGTTGTAAAAGTTCCCGTGTTTCTAAAGGTCATTTTATACTTTTGGTTTGGTTTTTGGGTTTCTTACACGTTAAATTTGAGGATATATATATATATATATATATATATATATATATATATATATATATATATATATGTGTGTGTGTGTGTGTGTGTGTGTGTGTGTGTGTGTGTGTGTGTGTGTGTGTGTGTGTGTGTGTGTGTGTGTGTACTCATCTATTTGTTTGTGCTTGCGGGGTTGAGCTTTGTCTCTTTGGTCCCGCCTCTCAACTGGAGTACAGATTCCCGAGCCTACTGGGCTCTATCATATCTACATTTGAAACTGTGTATGGAGTGTGTGTGTAAAATCACTGCAACCATTTTCACAAAACTGTCTTTATCACTGTAACTGACACCCCCGGACAACTCTATTGGACTCTCCGTAAAATAACCAATCACGAAATAACCCCCATCTCCCATCTCCCTTCCACACCTACACCCACTTCTCTATCCACACACACCCCCCACCTCGTTCTAAAAATATACCCAGACACCCAACATCAGGTACAGGTAGGTACTTGTACCTACCTGTACAAATAGGGGGGTAGAAATAGCCTAAGCTACTCTATCCCTTTGAGATGTATTTCATGCTTATCTCAATAAACATGCTTGAACTTGAACTTGAATCAGGTACAGTGCGCCCGGGCTTGCGGACATTCTCCTCGGGCCACCAGATAGGGGTCAAGGGTTAGGTGAGTTGAGGTCATCGCGAGGAGTGAAGAGAGAACAGGTGTTCGGCTGTCAACATTATAATGAGGTCATCAGGTCGCCTGGAAAAGGAGTGGCAGGAACAGAGATCAACAGAACGGGAGAGCAAGGAAAGAGAGGAGCAGATGGGAAGAGAGAACACAAAGATAAATTAGACAACGAAAGGAGAGAAAGAGAAGAGGAGCATAGAGAAGGGATAGGGGAGACTGAAAGCAGACACCCCCCTCTGAAGCCACAAAATAACAGCAATTCACCAACACTAAGACAGAGATCTCGAAGAGTAGCACGGGCTATGGTAAGCCCGTAATTTTTGCGTAACAGTTGAAGATGTCTCCCGCCTCGCTGAGGACAGACAGAGTCACATGAGTGGCTGTTCCTTCCTCCTCAGCACTCAGGGTAATAATGAAGTCCCTGGGATTCTCTTCCCCTGGTCTACACCCCTCTCCTCATTTGCATATATGAATAATGCATTCATACCTTGCTTCATTAATGTATGTGTTTATCACAAAGGAAAACTGGCATACACACACAACCGTATTTCAGGTACGGTAAGAGTCAATAACGTCATGTATACATTCAAAGGAATACGTGTATAAAAGTATTTTCATTTTTTTTTAAGTTGTGGAAATAAGCATTTTTATCGGTGGTTATTAAGAGCGGCGAATCTGTGAGAGGAGCTTCAATAGGATTTCTGGGAATTGGTACAGTGAGTTATTGTGCTGGGTAAACACTTGGGTCAAGTGACCCCTTGTTGGCTGGTGTGAGAGTACTTGTACGTAACCTTATGTACTCACCCTGATGTACTCACCCGACAAAGTTACAACCGCTGGGAATCGAACCCGGGCCAATAGGACTACGAACCCCAAGCGCTACCCACTCATCCGCAAGGCCCCAAACACACACACACACACAGGCAGTGATGTGGTGGAGGCTGACTCCATACACAGTTTCAAATGTAGACACGATAGAGCCCAGTAGCCTCAGGAACTCCTCAAAAGCTACCTGTCATTCTGCCAGGGATATTTTGAGTCCCCATCTGAACGAAAAAAATAGAACTTTTAAAATTCTTGGCCGGGGCACAGAGCTGTGACCAAGCTCCTCTTGGAGACAGTGCAAATTGTATTGTATAATGTATGCTTGTATGTGAGCCACAGCTACGTGGAAGGTGTGTGTGTGTGTGAGAGAGAAGAGGTGAGAATGTTGCACACACCTGCAAGAATGCTCGAGCTCATCACTGAAGCACACGAACACCTGCGTCATAAGACCTAACCTTGGGGAGGTTAGAGACCTAACCTCTCTAACCTAAAAGTTTTAGAGAGAGAGTTTTCAGGGGAAAGCGCCAAGCGATTACGACTATATAGCACTTGGAAGGGGTCAGGATAGGGATTTGAGAGAGAGAGAGAGAGAGAGAGAGAGAGAGAGAGAGAGAGAGAGAGAGAGAGAGAGAGAGAGAGAGAGAGAGAGAGAGAGAGAGAGAAGAGAGAGAGAGAGAGAGAGAGAGAGAGAGAGAGAGAGAGAGAGAGAGAGAGAGAGAGAGAGAGAGAGAGAGAGAGAGAGAAAGAGAGAGAGAGAGAGAGAGAGAGAGAGAGAGAGAGAGAGAGAGAGAGAGAGAGAGAGAGAGAGAGAGAGAGAGAGAGAGAGAGAGAGAGAGAGAGAGAGAGAGAGAGAGAGAGAGAGAGAGAGAGAGAGAGAGAGAGAGAGAGAGAGAGAGAGAGAGAATTTAGTGATGCTTGAAGCTTACAACATAGTGATAGTCTGGTCGCCATTCCTGAATGTTGTTTGACATGCCTGCTAATTGTTAAGGTAAACATTATAAGGGTTTATCTTCACTCCAATGTTGCGTCTCCCACCCTCACCCACCCCCTCCACCTCCCACGCCCACCCACCATTCAGGTATTGGATGAAGGCGAGT